GTATGCCTCGGCGCAAGCAAAGGCTCTCCCACCTCCCTCTTCTGTATACTGTTGTGCATGTGAGTATGTCGTGGCCCAGTGCTTGGTAGTCCATAGTTGACGTGATGCGCTTTTGGCATCCTGATGGTGAGTTGAGACGGATGTGAGATGACGAGTTGGTGCCTTTCCGACGGAGAAGAGATAGGAGGAAAAGGATGATGAAAAGAACGGGGTGGGAGGATACTAACGAGGCAAACAAGTTCGGCCTAGTGCGCCATATGTCTCCCAGCACTATTGCGCGACTCTACGTCGTCAGGGCCTGGCCAGCACCCGATGAGCCTAACGTGTGCAGTCTGCCGTGTTGAACCCACTGCAACGTAAATCCGCCACTGCTCGTTGGGATACTTATAACTTCCGGGGCTCCTGGGCGCCCTTGCACACACTGCCTTATTACTGTGGTGTTGGATCTTCGTTTTGAAGAGACAGCGCCCCGCGTCACTCCCTCCTCCTTCCTCCTTCCTCCTCCTCTTCCTCCCTCCTATCCCTGCACCTGTCCTCCGCACGTCCATGTTGGCACACCTATCACACACAGGGAGCTCCACCGCCCGCATTGCATCGCCGCACCCATTTCGGCCCCCCCCCTCAAACGTTTCGTGGCCACGGAGAGCTCCACCTGAGGCCTCAGTGGCAGCGCCCGCATGGCACCGCCGCGCCCATTTCGGCACACCCCTCACACGTTCCGCGGCCACAGAGGGAGCTCCACCGAAGGCCCCAGAGGCACCGCCCGCATGGCACCGCCGCGCTCATTTCAGCTTGCCCCTCACACGTTTCGTGGCTGCCACAGGGAGCTACACCTGAGGCCTCGGTGGCACCGTCCGAGCGTTTCGTGGCCCCACAGGAAGCTCCACCGAAAGCCCCAGTGGCACCGCCCGCATGGCACCGCCGCGCTCATTTCGGCACACCCCTCAATCGTATCGCGGCCCCATTGGGAGCTCCACCTGAGGCCCGAGCGGCACCGCCCGCATGGCACTGCCGCACCCATTTTGGCACACCCCTCACACGCTTCGCGGCCTCATCGGGAGTTCACCTGAGGCCTCGGTGGCAGCGCCCGCATGGCACCGCCGCGCTCCTTCGGGCACACCCCTCGCACGTTTCGTGACCCCATAGGGAGCTCCACCTGAATTCCTGGTGGCACCGCCCGCATGACAGCGCCACGCTAATTTCGGCATAGGCCTCACACGTTTCGTGGCCTCACAGGGAGCTCTACCGAATACCCCAGTGGCAACGCCCGCATGGCACCGCCGCGCTCATTTCGGCATGCCCCTCGGAACTTTTCGTGTTCCCACAGGGAGCTCCACCTGATGTCCCAGTGGCACCGCCCGCCTGGCACTGCCGCACCCGTTTTGGCACACCTTCAGATGTTTCACGGGCCTATATGGAGGGTCCTCCTGAGGCCACAGCGGCCGCGACCGCATGGCATCGCCGCGCCCGTTTCGGCGCACCCCTCACACGTTTCGTGGCCTCATCGGGAGTTCCACCTGAGGCCTCGGTGGCAGCGCCCGCATGGCACTACCGCGCTCCTTACGGCACACCCCTCGCATGTTTCGTGACCCAATATGGAGCTTTACCTAAGGCCCCGGTGACAGCGCCCTCATGGCACCGCCGCGCTCATGTTGGCACACCCCTCGGAACGTTTCGTGGCCCCACAGGGAGCTCCACCGAAGGCCCCAGTGGCACCGCCCGCATGACACCGCGGCGCCCATTTCGGCACACCCCTCACTCGTTTCGCGGCCCCACAGGGGGCTCCACCGAAGGCCCTAGTGGCACCGCCAGCAAGGCACCGCCGCGCTTATGTCGACAGACCCCTCACGTGGTGCGTGGCCCCACATGGAGCTCCACCAAAGACCGCACTCACAACCGCGGCACTCACAACAGCAGACGTTTGGGTCCTGGCTCAAGACTAGCTCAACCGGCCATTCTGATTCTCCCAGGGTCGTCGGCCGCCCTTCCTCTCTCCGCGCCTCTTTTTCTTTTGTTTCTTCTGGCGGCCACCGCCTCGGATCCCGCGACGCTGCAGTTCCTCGCCCCCTACGCAGGCTGCGCCATGGTGCAGTACTTACGCGACACTGGTAAGCACGCCGTGATCTTTACGACGACCTCTCCAAGCAGGCGGTGGCCTACCGGCAGATGTCCCTCCTGGTCCGCCGCCCGCCAGGCCGCGCGCGAGGCGCACCTGGGCGACGTGTGCTACCTCCATTCCCGCCTGCTGGGATCTCTGATGGTGCAGCGCTTATTGTATTTGCATTTATTTGGGGGCACTTGCAGTCGTTTACGGGATCTAGTCTGCACAGCGGCAGGTGGCGCATGCCCAGGAGTAGTCCCACTAGCATCATTCGCGAGGTCGGCTTCATAATATTGGCTGATTGCGCACCGTCGGAGTGCGCGCGAATGTGCAAGCGTTCGCCTGCTCTTTTTTTGTGCAGTCGCCATGGCGGGCGTGCCGCCAGCAGCGCATGCGTCCCGCCGAACATGGTGCATGGTCGCCAGTCGTTTCGCCCTGTCTGGCCGCACAGTTTGAGACTGCCTGGCCTCTAGCAGTGGCCAGTGAATTGGGTGCACGCGTAGCCTCAGGTCCTGGACTTGTTGGTGGTGTTGGGCGCTGGCACGGGGGAAGTCCTCATCGCTTAACCACACTTCAAGAGTTTGTTTGATGGCCTCCCTGATTGTTCTTATTCATATGTTCGGCTCTGGCTTGAGAGCTTGTGTTGTCCTCGGCCTAGGGTTTAACAGGTATCAAACATATTCCGATATGCTTTCGTTCACTTGTGGCATAAGCCATGAGCGGCGTTGCGCGAGTGCTTCATGTGTTCTGCTTCTCTGCCTCACTCTCTCTCTCATCTTGTTTTTTTGCTGTCTTTGTTTTTATTCTCTCCATCTCTCTCTCTCTCTTTCTGCTTTCTTCCCCCTCCTCCTGTCGTTTCGCGACATCTCTCGTCCGCTTTGTTGGAAGGCCCATTGCAATATTCCGCACGCGGGCAAGCAGGGTCCCAGAAAGAGAGAGAGAGAGAGAGAGAGAGAAAGAGAGAAAGAGAGAGAGAGAGAGAGAGACGGCGTTTGCGGACGGGCCTGCTCGCCCGTTGCCATATCAGTCTTTGGCCGCGTCTCTACTCCTTGGCCGCCTTCGACTGTCCCGGGCTGTCGAGCGTCTCGAGCAGTCTCCGAAGCACTCCAAGGCGAACGCTTCCAAGATTCCTCAGAAGAGCTGCCCGAGACCTCGAGCTCATCCAACGCAATTTGGAGCAAAGCCTCGGGACCCGTCCGGGAGCCTTCAGGGAACGTCGACTACCCGTAGAAAAGCCGGCACAAGGGGCCCTCGCCGCCCTCGCCCCGCAGTCTCGACGCGCGGGGCGACAGTGGGGAGGCCGCTCCATATCCTCTCCAGAGGGAAGCCAAAGACGAGCAGCCGGCCAAGTGGCTGCCCGTCCGACCAACGTCGAGGAGGAGGAGGAGGAGGAGGGGGGGGGGGAGGAGGAGGAGGAGGAGGAGGAGGAGGAGGAGGAGGAGGAGAAGTGGGGAACTGAGGAGGGTGAGTGCGAGGACGACGAGGACGACGACGTTGAAGACGACAACGACGACGACTACGACGACGACGACGCCGTTGCCGACGACGACGACGAGGACGACGACGACGACAACGGTAATGATGATGATACTGATGACGATGATGATGCTGACTATGATGATGATGATGATGATGATGATGATGATGATGATGATGATGATGATGATGATGATGACGATGATGGTGCTGATGTTGGTGGTGGTGGTTACCATGACTCTGAAACTGCTGCTGATGACGACGAGGATGATGTAACTGATGTTGATGATGATGGTGATGGAGATTGTGTTGATGATGTTGTTACTGCCGCTGCAACAGATGCCGCGGCTGATGATGATGATGATGATGATGACGATTCTAATGATGATGATGATGATGATGCTGATGCTGTTGCTGATGATGATCATGGTGATGATGATGTCGACGATGACGCTGCTGATGCTGATGATGCTGTGATGATGATGATGATTCTGCCGATGCTGTTTTTGTTGCTGCTGATGATTCTTGTGATGCTGATGATGATAACGATGATGCTGATGCTGATGATGATGCTGATGATGATGACGATCGTTATGATGATGCTGACGATGCTGAGACTGATTATGCTGATTATTATGCTGACGATGTTGATGATGATAACGCTGATGATGATGTGGATGCTGATGCTGATGCTGCTGCTGCTGATGATGATGATGATGCTCATGATGATGATGCTGATGATGATGATGATGATGATGATGATGATGATGGCGATGCTGCTGCCGATGATGGTTATGCTGATTATGCTGATGATGATGCTGCTGCTGATGATGTTGATGATGTTGATAATGTTGATAATGTGTATGCTGATGCTGCGGATGCTGCTGCTGCTGATGATGGTGATGATGCTGCTGATGATGATGACGATGATGATGATGTGCATGATGATGATGATGATGATGATGATGATGATGATGATGATGATGATGATGATGATGATGATGATGATGATGATGATGATGATGATGCTGATGCTGATGCTGAGGCTGATGATGATGATGATGATGATGATGATGATGATGATGATGATGATGATGATGATGATGATGATGATGATGGTGGTGGTGGTGGTGGTGGTGGTGTGAGAGGAGGAGGAGGAGGAGGAGGAGGAGGAGGAGGAAGAAGAGGAAGAGAGGATGAGGAGGAGGAGGAGGAGGAGGAGGAGGACGACCAGGACGAGGACGAGGAGGAGGAGGAGGACGAGGAGGAGGGGGAGGAGGAGGCAGAGGAGGAGGAGGAGGAGGAGGAGGAGGAGGAGGAGGAGGAGGAGGAGGAGGAGGAGGAGGAGGAGGAGGAGGTGGAGGCGGGAGAGGAGGGGGGAAGCCGGAGGGAGGAGGAGGGACGAGGGCGGAAGCCAGCCAAGGAGCCGATACTGGTTTTCGACGGGGACCCGCAGCCCGCGAAGCGCCTCACGGACGAGGGGAGGAGGCAGCGGCGCGCGGAGCGGCGCCGTGAGGGCGAGGCGCATCTCGCTCGGGGCGACCTGCACGGTGCTCGGAAGTGCTTCGTGCAGGCTGCCAGCGTCAGCGCCGAGATGGTCGCCGCGGGTCACCGAAGGGAGGTGCGGTCTGGAGCTTTGGCTTAGCTCGCTGCGTGATCTAGCACGCCAGGCACCCCTGTTATGAATCAGCAGGGGGCGGCAGATATCGAAGACGCCTACCGCGAACCACCGCCGCCACCTGCCTTTTGGAATCGCCCATGTGGCCGAGCGTTGTGGCAAGGCCCATGCCGCCCATGCCGCCCTTCGGCCCATATCGCCACCGTTTCTGGGTCGTGCGTCAGGGTCGTCAGGGATGCTTCTTCGGGTCTCGCCAGAGCGCCCTCCGAGGCCTCAGGGGAGGAGCTCGGGGCCTCTTATGAGTTTCTTCTTGGGGGCCTCTTGGGGGTCTCTTGGGGCCTATTGGGGGCCTCTTGGGGATGTACTTGGGGATATACGGTCTTGAGCTTTGGGCTTAGTTCGATGCGTGATATCTGATCCCGAACCAAGCCTCCAGGTCGGTTTTGGAGGTCGCCCCCCCCGCTCTGCGATGGAGACGTGATTCATCACTAACAAGTGAGCAATGGAGAGTTGTACGTTTATCTCCAACATGGACAGTCATGTTTCCTCATCTCCTCTAAGGTGGGGCGCTTGTTCTGACTTAGATGCCGCTGTCGTCCTCACCTTTCCCTCCTCCTCCTTCTCCTCCTCCTCCTCCTCCCCCAGCTCACACTCACTCAACTCAGCGCCACTCACACTCAGACTCACCCACACTCAGGCTCACTCAACTCAGAGCCACTCACACCGGTACTTACTCGCACTCATACTCACTCACACTCAGACCCACTCACACTGATACTCTCTAGTACTCAGACTCATCCATGCTCTGACTCACTCACGCTCTGACCCACTCACGCCCAGACTCGCTCACACTCATATCTACCCTCGTACTCACACTCACTCACACTCATAACCACTCACCCTCATATCTACACTCACTCATACTGGGAAGCTATCACACTCAGACTCGCAGATCGCGACGAGGAAATTTCAGCACTCCCAAGGGGGAGTCGCCAGGGTGTTTGCACGGGCCCGTTCGCGCCTGGATTGTGGGGATGTCTCAGGCGGTTTGCCCATTTGGGTGCTCATACTCTTTGACTTTCAGAGCTGTTTGTGCGGATGTTTCAGGCGAGCATGTGGTGTCAGCACGCCCAATGGGGGAGCCGCTGGGGTGTTAGCACGGGCCCGTTCGCGCCCAGATTGCGGGAATGTCTCAGGCGGTGTGCCTGTTTGGGTGCTCAGACTCGTCTACTTTCAGAAGTTTGTGAGGATGTTCTAGGCGAGCTAGTGATTTTACCACTCCCAATGGGGGAGCCACTGGGGTGTGTGCACGGGCCCGTTCGCGACCAGATTGTGGGGTTGAATCAGGCGATTTGCCTGTTTCGGTGCCCAGCGTTGTCTGCTTTCAGAACAGTTTGTGCGAATGTCACAGGCGAAGCGCTGGTCGTATCAGCACGCCCAAGGGGGAGCCGCCAAAGTGTTTGCACGGGCCAGTTCGCGCCCGATGTCTCAGAAGGTTTGCCTGTGTCGGTGCCCAGACTCGTCTACTATCAGAGCAGAATATGAGGATGTCTCAGGCGAGCTGGTGGTTTCAGCACTTCCAAGGATGGATGAGGGGGGGGGGAGAGGGGGAGGGAGGGAGGGGGGAGGGGGGAGGGAGGGAAGGAAGGCGGGAGGGAGGGAAGGAAGGTGGGAGGCACGAGCAAGGACGGCCGCACGGTCGGGGCACCAGGGCGCCGCGCGCGTCGGCGAGGTCGCGGACCTGGTCGGCGAACTCGAGGCGGCCTCCTCCTCCTTCCCCTCCCATGTCCTCCCTGCCGCTCCTCGTTCGCCTCCTTCTCCACCATCCTCTTTCTCGTCCCTCCCTCGTCCGTCTCTCCTATTCCTTACATGCCTCTCCCCACCCTCCCTCCTATTCCTCCCTCTTGTCGTTCGCCTCTTCCCTTCTCCGCTCGCCGTTCACTCTCGCTCCACCTCTCTTTCCTACTCCTTCTCCTCTTTCTCCTTCTCCCTCTTCCTTTCCCCACTTAACTGGGAACTGGGAAACGGAAGCCCGCGGGGAACCGGTAGAACTGGGAACCGGGAGCAGGGAACCGGGAACTGGGAATCGGGGAACGGGGAACGGGGAACAGGTAACCAGGGCGCTGGAGCTGGGAGCTGGGAACAAGGAATCGGAAATTTGGAGCCTAGAGCTGGGAACCAGGAGTGGGGGAGCCAGGAACCAGTTGTCGGGAACCGGGAACAGTATTGGGAACCGCGAGCCGGGAATAACCGGGAACTGGGAGCCGGGAGCCAGGAGCGGGGAATTGGGAACCGGGAGCAAGGAATTGGGAACCGGGAGCCAGGAACCTGGAACCGGCTATGGGAGCCAGGAGCCAGGAACCGGGAATTATTGGGAACAGGGAGCCGGAAACCGGGACCGGAGATTGGGGAACCTGGAGCTGGGAATTGGGAACCGAACGCGGGGAGCCGGGAAGCGCAGGAGCCGGGAGCCGGGAGCCGGGAATTGGGAACCGGGAGCCAGGTGCTGGCGACGACGGCGCGACGGGCGGTGCCACCCGTCGCCGCCGTCGCCGTCGCCGTCGCCGTCGCCGCCGCTTGGGGCGAGTGGCGGCTTTTGCGGGCGGTGCCGCCCGTCGCAGCCGTCGGCGTCGCATAGATGGCATTGCACATGTTTCTTTTTCCTACAAGAGAATAAATAGACTCTACCACCCCTGGGATTATCGGCACCCCTCAATTTTCATATGGTTCTGCCCCATCGTCCATCCTAAATTCGAGCTCATACCATCCCAGCCGAGCCTGTATCGCTCCCCCCCGCCATCCTTTGAAAAAGTACAAATGCGCGCGCGCTCGTTTCTCAAAAATCATCAGCTTCCAAGAACCCTTTGCAACAATTGTGACGAAGTGCATACGCGCGCGTCGTCGCTTGCGTATGCCAAGACCCTTCAAAAACCGTCGGTGTCGTAAGGATTTCAAAATCGGGTGCCCCATCAATCTATATCAGACGTGGTCTCGCAACACGGATTTTCAAAAAAGGTCGCGCGCGCGCTCTTGCGAATTGTCAGCAAAACCATAGGTTTTTCATCATGCCATAAAATGCAACCAAAAGGGCTTCGCGCGCGCGTCAACATCGTCCGTACGCCCTTGCGCGCATGCTGTCGCAAGAATCCTTTGCAACAGATGAGACGGAGTGCGCGCGCGCGCGTCGTCGCGCGCGCATGCCTGAATCCGTCAAAAATTTTAGGTTTCGTAAGGATGTCAAAACTGAGCGTCGCGAAACTTATAAAAAAGGTTTCGCAACATCAGTTTTCAAAAAACGTACGCTCGCGCTGTTGCGGATTCTGCAGAAAACCATCGATGTTTCAACATTGTCACGGGATTCTGCCAAGCAGGCCTGTCGCGCCGCATGCCGAAGTCAGTCGAACGCCCTTGCGCGCGTGCTGGGGGAGCACGATCTGTGTCAAATAATTCCATGCAGCGGGCCACTCTCGCGTGTCGGCCGCGCGCGTATGTCGAACTACTTCCAAAACCTTCATCACTGATGCGAGCGAGGACGCCGTCATCGTCGTCGGCGGGATCAGCATCGGTGCCGTCACTGGCCGTGCCGTCGTCGTTGTCGATATCGTCGCCAGCATCGCTACTATCATCATCGTGTCTACCGTTGTCGACGTTGCCATGATACCGCTTTCGCGTCGGTTGCGCCAAACTAGATGGCCGCTGCGCGCACGAGCATATGTGGGCTAGCGTGGCCGCAGAGATGCACCAGCCAACATAAGCACTCATCGCAATCGCCGCCGCGTGGGTTTTGCAAACCAAGTTGCGGGCGGGTGGGTGGGATGATTGCGCGAGCAGTGGAGTTGAAAACTTCACGTTCGGCAGGGTGAATTGTCCTTCAGGAAAAGTATCTTAAAAAGATGAACTCTATCTTTCCCGGGATTATCGGTTCCCCTTTTTGTATTGCCCTTTACGTATGATTCTGCCCCATCCTGTATCGTAAATCTGAATTCGTTCCAACCCAGCCAGGCGGGTCCCCCCCCGTAGGGCGGATCGTTTGTATCATTTGGATTCTCTTTCTTTGCCGTGATTTTGAGAACTCTCTCTCTCTCTCTCTCTCTCTCTCCCTCCCTCTCTCTTTCCCTCTCTCCCTCCCTCCCCCTCTCTCTCTCTCTCTCTCTCTCTCTCTCTTTATTGTAAGGCGCCACAAAAGGATTCCTTTTGTAAGGCGTCAGACAAGGAATCCTTTTGTGGCGGACCTTGAGGTCAAATTTCCAAGGTTCCAAAAAAAACAGCAAAAAGCAGCAAAAGCAGAAAAAAACAGTCATAACATTGAGGAAACACTGTGTTTTCACAGGTTTCATTGGTTTCTGAATCAAGAATTCAATGGTTTTAATGTAAAACATATGGTTTTCATTGATTTCATTTTTTTTTACAAAAAACAATCTTGGGACCAGATGATCCCTGTGCCTGCACAGGGATCATTGAGGTTTAAGGGTGTTTTTTTTTAAACAAAAAATTAATGAAATCCAATGAGAACCATATGTTTTTACAGTAAAACCATTGAATTTTTGATTCAGAAACCAATGAAACCTGTGAAAACACAGTGTTTCCTCAATTTTATGACTGTTTTTTTCTGCTTTTGCTGTTTTTTTATGCTTTTTCTGCTTTTCGGAGGCATTGGAAATTTGACTTCAAGATCCGCCACAAAAGGAATCCCTTTGTAATCAATCCCTTTGCAATCCCCCACAAAAGGAATCCTATTGTAATCCTCCTTAAATGAATTCCCTGTGTAATCCTCCACAACAGGAATCCTATTGTAATGCACTACAAAAGAAATTCTCTTGTAATCCTCCACAAAAAGGAATCCTATTTGAATCCGCCCCCAAAAGGAATCCTAGTGTAATCCCCCAAAGAAGGAATCCCTTTGTAATCCTCCACAAAAGGAATCCTATTGTAATCCTCAACAAAAGGAATCCTATTGTAATCCGCCACATACGGAATCCTAGTGTAATCCTCCAAAGAAGAAG